ATGTATATACTATATAGACTTTCTTCTGTTCGCCCATCCATCAGCAGCAGTCACTCAACATTTGAATTCAATGAATGAATTAAATAGAATTATAATCTGATGACATGATGAGATTAGAAGCCTCATGGCTCTTTGGACTCTACCTTATGGGCAGTAGCGCCGGCGTTACCAGACGCGCCGGCGTCGCCGCCGCCGCCGATTCTTTTTGAAGTTGAACACGCCGCCGCCGGAAAGCCTGTCGGCGTAAACCTCTAGTATGGAAAGGGAATGGAAATTAATACTTCAAATAGCATACTTACATATGGGTATTTCCTGAAAAGTGTCAACCAAGTCCAAAAAAGTAGAATTTTGCCTGGACAAAGTTTAAAGATGCCAATCGATAGCTACACATTTTGTCTTTCATCCACCAAAATATTGGACTAATTGGTCCATTCCATTTCAAGATATTTTCGGCTTTCCAACTACACTTTAAATTTTTCTTTTTTTCGGAGAAACCATAGCTGCCAGAAATCCTTCATAATTGTGGCACACGATTAAAAATAATTGGAAATCTATACAAAAATTTAGTACAGCTTATGTTCTGTAAGCCTTACAACAAAAACAATGTAAAAATGTATTAGGTACGGTCTAAAGTTAAATTAAAAATTGTCCTTTTTTCAAGCGATCGGACGCAAAATATACTTTAAATGTAAAAAAAGAGTCGTATCGTTTACTTTATTTGTCAAAATTTTAATACAAAAGTTGGTTTTGGTTACTCTTGCCAGTCGCACAAAATTTCTTTCGGAAAGCTATAGGATTATCGATTGTAAGTGTATTGAAAATCGGAACGTCCGAACGCTTCAAATAACTTTTGTTCATATTGTTCTATGTAAGTACTAGTACTCACAAAATTGAGTATGTATATGGGTTTTTTTTTGTTAGTATTTGCAAAATTTTTTCGTTAATTTGGTATTAAAATATGGCTTATATTTTAGCAAGCCCCATTTAAATCCAAACCTGAATCTGTCTACGAAAATGATGAAAAATCCGCAAAGCAAACTTTCTAATAGAATTTCAAAAAAATTAGGTATGTAGTTTTATAGCCCATTCAGTTTTAGTATAATAATGTCCAAATTTCAAATGTCTAAAAATTCGCGATGATTTTTGAGAATCGTTTATACATTTGAAATTTGCACATTATTATACTAAAACTGAATGGACTATAAAACTGCATACCTGATTTTTTTTAGAAATTCTTGTTAAAAAGTTTGCTTTGCAGAGTTTTTATAATTTTCGTAGGCAGATTCATATTTGGATTTAAATGGGGTTTGCTAAATATAAGCCATATTTCAGTACAAAATAGAATATAAAAAATTAGCATGTAAAACATTGCGAATATTAACAAAAAACAAAACCATATACTCAATTTTGTGAGTAACAGTAAATATATAGATATAGTACATACCGACGCTTCCAAACCATAATATGCTAAGTCAGCTTAGACTTACAGCGTTTTCTTTTCTCGAAAAAAGGATGCACTTATTCTGCCTTGTGTTAGCGCTGTCAAACTTTCATGTTCTTTTCTCAGCCCTTTCACAAGGCGTCGTGTTCTTTTCTCAACAGGTTGCGCTCTGATCCGGCAAAAGTGCTGCCTTTTCAGCCCTCAAATAAACGTGAGGGTGAGAGTTGCATACAATTATTTTCCGTATCAGAAATAAGTGTTTTGCTTTAAAATTACTAAATACTTACATGCCAAGTGAATAATTTACCGTTTTTAAGTTCTATAAATAAATTGTGATGGAGTAGTATAATTTCTGTTTCATTCTCATATAAAGAACGCAACATTTTCTGAGGTTTCAGGGCAACGCAAAGCAAGAGTTCCCATATAAAAGGGCAGGACTTTTTTTGAGAAAAGAAAACGCTATTAGTCTAGGGCTGACAGCTATCTCCGTAGGCAAACCGGGACACTTTGGAAAATCTAACACCACAACCGCCCCTCCCTTTCCTTTCCTTTAGACAAAAATTACTTACGTACGAAAGTATGTAGTAAAATTTTATTTTGGCAAGACAAAAACAAAACCGTAAAAAGATGAGATTATTTCAACGTACTAAAGTTCAAAATAAACATATAGTGCCGCCCAAAATTATTGGCACAATGCATTCAACATTTTTTTGGTTAAATTTTTTATAAATACATATACCGTTTATACTACATCAAAAAAACAAAAACAGAATTTCTAGACTTTTTGCGAAACTCGGGAAAATTCAATAAATTTGCATACAAGTTTGCAACATTCTAATCAGACTTTTTATACAAATTTTGAAAAGAAGTTTTGTGGCCCAACAATTTTAGTCCCTTTTTGATAATTTTTTGCTGACAGCTTCTTCCATACAAACTATGTTCTACAATTATTTTTGTATGAACGAAACTGCTACATTTTCAATATTTTTCTAAAAGATCTGATGAAAAATTCTCTGAGCCAATAATTGTGTACGCCACTGTACTTATAAGTACACTAGGTTTCATGAAAAAAAAAATTAAGTACAAGATAACATTAAAAAATCAGTCATATTTTTCGTGAACTTGTTTCAAAACTTCTGACTTTTAGGCTGCGTTTCTTTATACATTCCGGATAATCCCATTTCACAGCCGGAATAAACAGAATGCTTTTGAAATATACGTTAACATATCATCAGGAACGTTCTAAAGAATAAGTAAACAAAAAAGTTTATTCCAAACGTTCAGAATGAATAAAGAAATTCAGCCTTAATATAATTTTAAAACTCTGTGCACGTCATTTAACGCACATATTTATGTACTTATATTGAGCAAATTTCTTTCCTTAGTCTATTGAGATGAAATAAGAAAAAAACATTGATCCACATTAGGTGTATTAAAAAAGGTGTGGTTGACAACTCAGTGAGGCTCTCTTTTAAGGTACATACTATAACTTTAAAAAAATATAAACAAATGACGCACTCTTCTGTGTAAGCGGAAAGGAATTTATACGTTCTCTTTGGCATTTTCTAAACACTATAAACACACATTTTTATATTCTATAAACTTTGTCGCGAAAACTTACATTGGAATTAAAGCCCACCCGAAAAACAAACGAGCAAAACAAATAAAAAACAGCTGATGCTAATTAGGAAGAGCACTTTGCACTTACAGGTATGTATGAGGGTATATCGATCACTACTATCTGGAGATGTAACTATATCACAAATGACACCGGTAGTGATTTTTGAACTTTTATTAAATTTGTGCATATAAATCGAAAACCGGGACACTTAAACGAAACCCGGGACATTTTAAGGTTGGACCGGGACACCGGGACCAATGGTCTAAAACCGGGATATGTCCGGCAAAACCGGGACGTCTGGCAGCCCTATATTAGTCAGACTTAGCATAGTATGGTTTGGAGGCGTCCATATGTACGAAGAAAACACTTCAACGAACGTTAATAAAGACCTTCATATAGATGTAGATTTATTTACCCTAAAACCCCATATTTGCATTAAAAAACGAGTGTGTTTAAATTTTCAAACAAAAAATTGTATCCATTGGAAAAAATCGGAACGTATGAATGGGACAACTTTGAACAGTTTTTGGCAGCTACTAAACATCGTTAGGAAGTTTAAGTTGACGCAATGGTAATGGCTGCTTATTATTCTAACAACCGTTCATACATCGTTTTTTTTTTGTACCATTAACAGATTCGCAGAATTTAGCAAAAATCATCAGTCATCTTCGATACGAGTTCCATTTTGGGAACGTCCGAACGGGAACTTTTAATCGCCATACACTTACCATATAACATTTGCGGAAAATATTTTTATTGATTTCAGATACTCATGACAAAAAATTTGTGTTCATTCAGAGCCTACTATAGTTTTTATAATGAAAAAAGTGTCTCCAAACGGAACGTCCGTTACGCAGGAAACACCCATTTGTATGCCCATTAGGGTGGTCCAAAACCAGTAAAGTCGGAGTTGTAATGCTCTCACCCCCTAGGATTGTTCTATATCGTAAAAAAGTATACCCCTAATTTTTATTTTAAAATCAAAAAATATTTAGAGGTCGCTCAAAGCACTCAAAGTTTTCCATGTATTTTTATATGGAAAAATAAATTTTTTCGTAGAAATATTTTTCGATCGGAAAACTATGGTTCTCTTCAGGAGACTTTCAATAATAATACCCAATTGTCTATTTAACCATTTTTTAATACTAACGATTTTTTATTGGTCGCCCCATAGCATTTTTCGGGGTTTTTGTGGGTTTTCGGCGGACCTATAAATTATAGTTGCAATGAAAAAATGGTTAAATAAACAATTGGGTATTATTACTGGGAATCGCCTGCAGATAAACAGAGTTTTCTGGTAGAAAAATATTGATTTTTAACTATTCTATACCATTTTTACGAAAAGTGGTTTTTTCCCCATATAAAATACATGGAAAACTTTAGGCGCTTTGAGCGACCTCTAAATATTTTTTGATTTCAAAATAAAAAAATAAGGGCATATTTTTTCGGTATAGAACAATCCTAGGGGGTGACAGCATAAAAATTCCGACTTTACTTTTTCACGTGCATTTTTGGACCACCCTAATGCCCATATAATTTTATGTAAGCAATTCTAGTAGTGATCACCAATCAGTTGATATTGACTGTGGTAAACCCAGGCAACCTTAGCCTACACACTCTTGTGTTCGAATAGAAGCATACAAATGCATATTGCTACCTAAAGGTGGAAAGGTGCGCAGTCCACTTTCAAAAATTTCAAAAAAATAGACTTGTAATTTTTTCACCTTTAGGTAACGATATATGTACATATGTACGTCTGTGCTTACATATGTATTTATTTATGCACTTGCGTACTCGCTGTGAAGTGAATACAAATAAACATGCAATCGATTCTAAGCCCACACATCACCCAATTACGCTCCCACTCCAATTTAAGTAACAATTTGAACTAAACCAAATTTGTCAAAATTTGCTGGCATCCGTTTCATTATTGAATGTAGACAAATTTTTCTAACAAATTCAAAATCTATGTATTCCGCGCGGCTTTTTGTGTTCGATTAAGATATTTCTAAATAACACTGATCTTGCCGCAATAACAGCGTTTCTCAATCTTTTCATACAGTTGCTCCCTTTACGGTTAGAGCTTAAGTGAAAAATATTTTTTTTTTTTATGTAATTTTTCATCAAAAAATTATTTTCAACGTAAATTACTTTCATCCAACACTAGTCTCGCATCATATCCTCATTCCAAAATCCCTGAAATGTGTTCGTCAAATTTTCCCTACTAAATTAGAATGCACTTATTTCATAAAATCATATTGATATAATTCCACCTTAAGGCATGCGAATGGATTAATTTACCAAAAAACTGCATTAAAAATATTTTTATTTTAAATATGCCTGCCCTTAGATTTAAACTTTTTCTATTATGCGAGGCCATGTACTGGACGGAAAACTTTGGGAATTGAATTTTCTTCAATCAATTTTTAGATACATTTTCAACGCGGTCCAGCTGACGATTAACCGCGAGTTGAGCCAAAATATTTTGGTTGATGTCATGATATAGATCAAATTTTATAATTTCAATGGTAAACCCCCACACACACATGTATGTATATGCAGTATGTCTCAGTACTAAGCTCAGCCCTGTTAAGTTGTTTCTTACAAATCATGGTTGTTTTTGATTTTTAAATTTTACGCAATGTAGAAAATCAAAAGTATAAAATCGGAAGTAAATACATCCAATAGCTGCGGTGGTAGGCTTAATATTTTTTTGATAGAATCATCTTTAGGACAGGGTGGCGACTTTGTTTGGTCCGAGTACATTTTTCTAATTTCAAGGCGAATCTGAAACTTTGTAAAAAATTACAATTTTTTTAAATTTTCTGCATTTTTTCTATAGTGACAAAATCAAGGCGAATTTATACAAGGTGGTGTCAGTGTTGTCACTTCAGAAACCAAATTAGTAGTAGATTATCAAAGAAAAAAAAAAGTGGTAGATCTCTGGAAAAGTGTGGTAGAATATTTGTAGTAACTTAAAAATTTGCCAAGAAAGATATATCAGACCAAGAAGTAGTATTCAATTGTACATAAACTGCATTTTTAGTTTTGTTCTATCGCGCCATTTTTTCGAGATATTTGCCTACTAAGGTTTTCATTTTTATTGTCTTAGAAGGTACGTATGTATATCTGGGTCATAAAAAAGATTATATTTTTAATTTTTGCACTAAGTTCTTAAGTGTTGTTGTCTGTGGAAATACTGTTGGTAAGCAACTTCACAGGCGTATTCTCAGGCGATGTCGCATCTCTAAGAAAATCGCCTCATGTAAGTGTAGATTATCTTCACGCACGCAATAGAAATTTTGAAACGGCAGCACCAGCTATTCAAGTAACACAAAATTCACAATAAGTTTTCTTGACATTCTAATTCATATTAAGGAGAAAATTGACCGTTCAACTCTTATGAAAAAAAAAAACATTTTTCAAATTAGGTTAATAATTTTATGTGGTAGTTGTGGTAGAATTGAAAATTTACCCAAAATGTGGCAGATCTACCACAATTGTGGCAAGTTCGCCACAATACCTTCACTAATTTTGGAATTACTATCTTTAGATTTTAATTTTTGTACTTTAAATCTAAAGCTCTCAAAAAACGATGACGTCCTTGCTAAAAAGGGCGGTTTTAGCGGGTGCATAAAAAAATGTTGCACCCAAAATTTTTTCTCGACATAAGTATTCAAATAAAACTGACGCAAGCTAAACTTTTTTTTCGTGATACGCCTTAATGTGGTGCAAAGTGTCGCAACTAAGTGTTTTTCATATATTCACCGATATCTCAGAAACTAGGTCTGACCTAGAGATACCATCATGATATCCGGAATCTGGATATAATTCTACGTAAGAAAAGTTAGGGATTTTTTAGAGAGTAGCGTTTTTTTTTAAATACAGTGGTTTAGTTAATTGTCTTAATCTAAAGGAAAGAGGTTCCTAATTCGTACATATGAAAAACTGACATTCAGACCCGCGCTTTGGATGTTTAATGTGCACTAGAAGTGCCGCCTTTGTGCAGCAAAAAATCTGCACCCAACAAAGCACTATGAGGCCATTTTCATTTAAGCGGCAGAAAGTCAATTCTCAAAATTTCGATTTTCATAGTTTTGTTTGGTGTTCGATTTGTAAAAAATTGAGGGGAAAACCTCGAAAAAAGCATGACAATCGGAAATACTGTTAATGCTTAAACAGCTGTTGATGTGTTTTTTTTTTCAAAAAACTGCAAATTAAAAAGAGTTTATTGTTTACATAGAAACTGTAAAGTTCAAAAATGCTGAAGTTCCGAATAAATAAAACTATTTTGCGCCAGTTTCCAGGGCAGTTAAAAAATGCGTATAATTTTCGTCACGAAATTGATATCATAAATTTTGTGTTTGTAGTTCAGCTTTCGTCCCTCGAAATATTTACCTCAAAGAGGTATTTTATTTGATATCAATTATTTTGGGATAGTAAATTAAAAATCAACGAAAATCCAAACAAAAATCTAACGGCCCTATTCATAGAAAATAAAATAGATTTAAAGAGCTATATAAAGTGTAATTTTCAGCAGTTACAGTCCNACTCGAAATATTTACCTCAAAGAGGTATTTTATTTGATATCAATTATTTTGGGATAGTAAATTAAAAATCAACGAAAATCCAAACAAAAATCTAACGGCCCTATTCATAGAAAATAAAATAGATTTAAAGAGCTATATAAAGTGTAATTTTCAGCAGTTACAGTCCTCTTTATTTTTTATGAATTTGGGTGTAAATGTTTTATTTTTTTTTTTTTTAATAAATTTCTAAAAACGCTATCTAAATCTGAATGACTTATTCCGAAATTTACCACTGAATTCAATTCCATTGAACCATATAATACAGAATAAAGCGACAATGGATGATCATATCCTTCGTATTAAAAAAAAAATATTTATATAGAAATTAAAAAAAAAGATTAAATATGAAAAATGATAAAACGTAGCAACTTGGTACCAACATTAGATACAACAAACCACTGTATTCATCTCATTCTCTGCGCTGCACACATGTGTTTTTTAAGAAGTTTCACTTCTATCACGATTACGGTGCTGCATTCGCCTTTTTATACCCTAGCACAATTGTGTACAAGAGTATTATAACTTTGTTCACATAACGGTTCTTTGTAACAGCCAAAACGAAACGAGATAGATATAGACAAATGTATACATAAATGTTCAGAATGAATAGAGAAGTCGATTAAGCCATGTCTGTCTGTCCATCCGTCCGTCAGTGATAACGATAAGTGGAGCGAGAATTGAAATATCTCAACTAAATTTGGTATATAGGTTTCCCTTTATCCAAGGTAGGTTGGTATTGAAAATGTGCGAAATCGGTCTGCTGCCACGCCGCACGCAGGTATTTTCGAAAAATGCAAGGACTACAATATTTCAGTAAATATTGGATGGAAATTGTTTAAAATTAATATGTGAAGTAGAATTTTTGTAAAAATTAAAATTATTTTGAATTTTTTTAAAAATGGGCGAGACCCCTCCCACTTATGATGAAATGCTGTATACCAGTAGCCGCTTCACGAATCCTTACCAAATTCGGTACGAATCTTTTCTAGGGTCTAGCTAAGAAATCTGTTGAAAATCTTTGAAATCGGGCAATAAATAAATAATAAGTGTGCGTGGCGCCCTTATGACTACATATGTGTATTTCGGTAACCGATTTATCAATTTCTACTAAACTCAGTTCACTTAATAACCTTGGAAAGAAATTCGCTAAAATTGTTCAAATCGGACTAAAATTACTCCCACTTCTTGTTTAACGGTAAATTTTAGAAATACGAAAACTCCGATATTTCAATAACTGAGGAGGCTAATTTACTCCAAGTTAATTGTTACAACAATCTTTTAGCAATAAATAAGAATGCTGTAGACTATTGTCCGACCGATAAACCGGCGTCGGCATCAGCTAGTATCGGCACGAAATTGAGCATCAGCATCAGCCTCTTTTTTTGCCGAATATTTGGATTTCTTTTCAAATGTTCATGTGAAGCGACAGACATCAAAAATCATTTGCAGACAGCTCACAAAAATGAATTTTTTTTTTTTGGTAGAAGGTGTACGTTTTTTGCTTACAAAAGTATGTTGGAAAATTGGAGGACACTGCTAGCAGAAAAAACTCCCAAAAATTAACGGGATTTTATAGCAGCTTGAAACTTGCACTTCATTATACTAGAATTAAATGGTCCACAAAACCGCATACCAAAATTTTGATTAAAAAGTTTGAAATTTTGGTGAAAATAAGCAGAATTTTTCTAATTTTGGTACAAAGTTTGAAATCTGAATTTATATGGTGTTTGTTGTATACAAGCTAGGCTTTTATAATAAAATAGTAAACATTAAATAAACAGAAGACAAATTCCAAATGCCAAAACCGGTCAAAATGTCACAATTCTTTTATTTTGTGTACTGCTATATGAATGTACATTAGGGTAGTCCAAAAACACTAAAGTCGGAATTGTAATGCTCTCACCCCCAAGGATTGCTCTATATCAAAAAAAAGTATACCTCTATTTTTTATTTTGAAATAAAAAATATTTAGAGGTCGCTCAAAGAGCTCAAAAATTTCAATGTATTTTTATATGGCAAAAAAAAACAATTTTTCGTAGAAATGGTATCGAATTCTTGAAAACCAATATTTTTGGATCGGAAAACCCTGGTTCTCTTTGTTATGTTGATAACTCAAAGTAACCAAATTAGACAAATATGTTAATTTTTAACTAACCAAACCAGTTAGAAAAAATACTAGTTCATAAACTAGTATGTGCCTACCAGTTCGACATTTTCGAAGAGCTTAAGCGTTCAGCGACATCTGCCTTTGAATTGCCAAAGCCTAAAATAAAACGCAATTAATTGCTTTTCTTATAAATGTCGGCTGTGGCGTCACGTGAACACTGCTGGTTATGGTTCTAGGATCGCAGTTCGAGGCCGCTTGGAGGTGGTTAAGATTTTTAAAGTTAGATCAATGTAAGTAGGAATAACTATTTCAATTTAAATACAAATAACAAACTTAAAAATCTAGTTGCAATACAAAAAAAAAGAAACAAGCAAATTAATGGGAAGAAATACTTGTGCCATAAAAAAATAGATAAAAAAAATATATTTTTTTAATTAAATTTAAGAATAACAAAAAAACCGTAAATAAAAACTATAAATAAAAAAAATATTATAAAATAATAAAATAAAAAAAATTCCCTGCGCCAGGGCTTGAACCTAGTACCTCAGGCATACTACCCGAGCGCTTTGCTCTGTCGGCCATTGCGACTGTTGGAGCGCCGCGAGCAAAACGGCATACTAATGCTTTTCATGGGCATGAATTGGCAGACTATCTCATCAACTGGTATGATGCTACTAGTATTTCTACTAGTAGATGCTGATGCATAGCCTAGACAATTGGCATCTCGTAGGACATCGCAATGTTAAAAATACCAGTCGCTAATATTGAAAAAGGATAGAACGTCAACTAGTTAGGCTGAAACTCAAACTGGTAGAATTCTAGTTCACAACTAGTAGCTTTCCCTGCAGGGTATTTGTCGCTATTTGGAGATACTTTTTTCAATTTGAATCGCAATATCTCCACAACAAGAGTTTTCCCAGATATAAGCCATTTACCAAATCAAAGCTAAGGTTTTGGGCTATACATGAGGAAACTAAAAATAAAATCGACTGACCAGGGCTATAATCGTCACATACGATATCGTACTACTCGTCACGTAAAAACGCATTTTTCGGAAATGACATACGTGAGCGTGCTCTTCGTCCCATTCAGCTTGTACTGCCTGACGTATCGTGAACGGATGTTACGATTCGAACCCAGTTTTGAGAAAGGTACGTACAGACGCTACACACATCGCAAAGCATCTCGTAGTGGAGACACGAACCAAAATCAGTTTAGCTATATTATACCAACTAGTAGCCGGAACGCAAGGTATCGTTAGAAAGGTTTTTTGTTTCGCAACACTTTAGCCTAATTTTTGAGAATTGGGATAATCGTTTATGAACATTGCAAACGTTTTCTGAACACACTCTGCAAGACCTTTCCAACGATATCTCAAACATGTCGATTGGGCGTCTGGAAAAAAACTTCCAAATCTCGTGTATATATAAGCGAGTCATTTCAGGATGCTACCTACTGTGGCTGCTTTCGTCACTCGCCCCCACTGCCGTGCGCTGTGATTAGCGTCCGACCGACTCCAGTTTTTTTCAGGTACCGATGCCGGTGCCGATTAATCGGCTTATGGGGAGAGAATCGGCCGATGCCGATGCCGATGCCATAAAAAATTGCAAATAAATGTATTAATTCTTAAAATCAGTTAATTTAACGAAGTTAACAAAACAAAAGAAAACAAATAATTGTATTATTTGGCTTGTTATGCAACATTACATGCACATGAATGTACATTAGAGTGGTCCAAAAAAATTAAGTTGGAATTTTAATGCCGGCACCCCCTAGGATTGTTCTATATCGAAAAAAATATACCCCTATTTTTTATTTTGAAATCAAAAAATATTTGGGGGTGCTCAAAGCGCTCAAAGTTTTCCATGTATTTTATATGGAGAAAAAACCATTTTTCGTAGAAATGGTATAAAACTCTTAAAAATCAATATTTTTCAATCGGAAAACTGTGGTTCTCTTCAGAAGACTTCCAGTATTAATATCCAATTGTTTATTTAACCATTTTTTATGATTAAAGATTCTTCCATTGCATTTTCTAGGGGTTTTGGAGGACCTATATAATATAGTTACTATGAAAAAATGGTTAAAGAGACAATTGCGTATTATTACTGGGAATCTCCTGAAGATAAGAAAAGTTTTCCGATCGAAAACTGTTGGTTTTCAAGAATTCTACACTATTTCTACGAAAAATTGTTTTTCCCCCATATAAAATACATGGAAAACTTTGAGAGCTTTGAGCACTCCCTATTTTTTTTTTTTTTTTTTCAAAATAAAAAAATAGAGGCATATTTTTTTCGATATAAAGCAATCCTAGGGGGTGCCGGCATTAAAAATCCGACCTTATTTTTTTACATACATTTTTGGACCACTTTAATGTACATATATACATAAATACACTCTGTTGCACTCAATGCTAAGGAACTTATATGCTAAGTGAGTATGTATACACATACATATAGTGGTCCGTAAAATAAAAGAGTTGCGATAATTTTTATCGGTTTTAGCATTTGGCATTTGTCTTTTGTTTATTTAATGTTTATTATTTTTTTATAAAAGTCTATCTGGTATACAACAAACACTATATAAATTCAGACTTCAAACTTTGTACAAAAATTATAACAATTCTGCTTATTTTCACCAAAATTTCAAATTTTTTAATCAGAATTTTGGTACGCAGTTTTGTAGACCATTTCTATTCTAGTACAATTAAGTTAAGTTTCAAGCTGCTATAAAATCCCTTTAATTTTTGGCATTTTTTTTTGCTGGCAGTGTCCTCCATATAAAAGAAAATTTTCGAACATACTTTTGTATGGAAAAAGCGTGAACCACCTTCAACCAAAAAAAAATATTTTTGTGAGCTGTCTGCGAATTCCAAATAATCGGCAAAGAATCGGCGAACAAACTCCGATGCCGATGCTCAATTTTGTGCCGATACTAACCGATGCCGATTAATCGGTCGGACTCTAGCTGTGATACTTGAAATGTATCAGACAGCGATGGATAGCTCTGAATCATTCATATCAAGGCATAACTGAAATAAACTGCAGTTTCCGTGTGAAGTAATTGGGCTTTTCAAAATCCCCGAAATGACACCAGAACTTTTTTCGCCTTATACTTCTCGTAAATCTGCTCGAAGTAATTATGGTTACGAAAATTCAAGTTGTGGCTGTGATAACAGCTCAGAATCGTGATTTAAATGTTCAGTACAGTTAGAAGTAGATGACGATGATGGAACTGATCTATTTAGTCCGCAATATACATACTTATACCATTATCTTTCTTTCCAGATTGACTTTAGGAGTAGAAGTATTTTTTGTTGACCTATTAAAGCACATACAGTGACTCAAACAAATGACCACGTGTTGATTTTATTCAAATATTCGTAATGTCTTTTTTTGTTATTTTTATATAAAAATATCGGCTAAGCTTTAACCAAAACCGTGTAAATCACAGCTTCAAACTTTATACAAAATTTAGGAAAATTCAACAAATTTTAGGAGTAGAAGTATTTCTTGTTAACCTATTAAAGTACATACAGTGACACAAACAAATGAGCACGTGTTGATTTTCTTCAAATATTCGTAATGTTTTTTTATGTTATTTTTATATAAAAATATCGTCTAAGCTTTAACCAAAACCACAGCTTCAAACTTTATACAAAATTTACGAAAATTCAACAAATTTTCATTAAAATTTCAATTGGGTATACAGCTGTATAGCCCATAAAATTCTAGTCTAATGAAGTGCAAGTTTGAAACGGCTAAAAAATCGCGTTGATTTTTGAGAATTTTTTTTTGTAGGCTACTTTTTCGGGTTTTTTAATATAACAAGCGCAATTTACCAAAACTTGCATTGATATTTAGAAATTTTGTTCCTGACGGTCTCCCGCGTTTCATTTCATAAGAAATTCATACTTATGTATGTATATGAAAAAGTCCGTCACTGAAAAAAATTCTCAAAAATCAACGCGATTTTTTAGCCGTTTGAACCTTGCACTTCATTAGACTAACATTGTATGGGCTATAAAACTGTATACCCAAAAATTTTCTAAAAATTCGAAAAAAAGTTGAAATTTTGATGAAAATTTGTTTAGTTTTCCTAAATTTTGTATAAAGTTTAAAACTATGACGGTTTTGGTTAAAGCTTACACGTTTTTTTTTTTTTTTTAAATAAAAATTTTTTCTCGAAAAACATTATGAATATTTGAAAAAAATCAACACGTGGTCATTTGTTTGAGTCACTGTACATATACTTTTTAAGGATTATCTAAAAAATATAAATAAATTTAAAAGAATTAAAGAAAATTTTATTTGCGATCTTCGGGCGAGCTTTATGACAATACCTTAGTGACAGAATCCAGGTAAGCTTAGGTAAAACAAGTTTTCAATTTTTTTTGTAAAACGCCTCTTAATAGAGGGGCCCCTGGTAAAAGGGGTCGAGGAACCCCTATGTTCTTCGGAACCGCTATTGTTTTCGGTGGTAACCTGCATACAAAATTTTGAGTAGCTAGATAAAATATAAATAATTTTTGCCGCAAGTTTTGGTTGCTGGCCCATAGTGCAATGCAAGGAAAACTTAATGTCGAAAAGTTGCAATCACAACTGATGGCCAATTTATTCGCCTGGAAAACTTCGAAAAACTCCAAAACTTTTATTGGGAGATCAAGACTTGTGTGAAACTTTTGCTTGAAACTTTTTTCTCGGGAGTGCCCTTTTCAAACTCTAAATGGATTCGGACTCTACGGACAAAAATACATAATTTTTGTCGGAAACTTTTTTCTGTAGTGGACTTCCGGTTAAAATAATGCACTTTCGGTCTGTTTCACCCATTTCCGGTCGAAACCGGAAGCCGGTAATACCACCAGAAGATAGAGCATTCCCGATTTGGTAGGTCATATTTTTGCGTTTTTCAATAAAAAAAAACATTTTCACTCTTTAAAGAAGCCCACGACGAGTTGAATTTCGAAGGTCATTTACAGGTCTATTTTGCGCTGTAAATTTTTAAACCCTTTTAAACAAATGGCCCTATTGTGTATGGCGACTGATAGCCAATGGGCAACCATATAGAAAATTTCGCATTACGTATGGCTACTGGATATTGACAGTCGGCTACTGAGTCTAGTAGCGAATTTTTTCTTCGCTATCGACGATTTTGTTATTTGTTCACATAAATTGTTCAACACATTGGAGCAAAGTTGCCTATTACTTGGAAAAGTTCATGTTAAAAATGTTTTCTGCGCTTTTCTGTATACTGAGACTAATCGCTATACATAATACAAATTACGATACTGGTAGCCATGGCTACTAGACCAGCAACTAGACTCCAGTCGCCATACATAATAGGGCCAAAAGTATTGCCCCATGATATATATAATACCAGAATTTCCACAAATCTTCATAACTGAATTGCTGAATATTTTAACTAGATTACCAACGTAGCTAGAATCGCGGTGACAAGAACTGGTAACATTTTTTGCTAATGACATTTTCCCGTTACAAAATCCTTCGGTAATGTGCAGAATAGACCTGTTATAGGCAAAACGACACTTCCGGGAAAAAAGTTTCAATCAAAAGTTATGTATTTTTAACCCGAAAATCCGAATCTGTGGTCAAAACATGTATGTATGTCTTATATACAAAAATTTAATTCCGGTCAGTTTAACCCGTTACCGGTCGAAACCGGAAGGCGGTAGTACTACCAGAAGATAGAGAATCCCCGATAAGTTTGAAAATATTTTGATGGTGGTTGCCAGCTGTTTTAAAATTTTACACAAGTTATATGAAATATTAAAAAAAGGGTGTCAAACAAGAGTGTTAAACAATCTTTAGTTTGAAAATCTAGAATATTTTCGAGGAATTTGAAGAGGGTTGCCACCGGTTAAAAAGTTGAACCCAAATTTTTTAATCTGCCTTATCCTGAGTTGCGCCCGAAAAAATTCACCCGAAAATTTTTATTCCGTCCATAGTAAATACATGGAAACCTAAAGAGAAAAGTGAACCGGTTCGATTAAACTCATGATAAGGCTGAATAAGTTAAATGAATTATTAAGAAATGTTTGTTAATCGAAATGGGGTTGGAAGGGCTTTATTTCAAAACTATATTTAGTAGGGTTGCTACATATTTGTAAATTCAAATTCTACTTAATTCACCAGTTAGTTGAAATACGTATCCCAATTTCAGACACGAGATTTAAGAATATTTTAGTTTGAAAATACTTTTGATAAGGGTTGCCACCTGTTTGAAAGGTAAACTCAACAGTTGTACATGATATGTCTTAATGTCAAATGGAGGAGTTTTGTAAAGCTTTAGTTTGAAAAAAGAGTTGCCACCTATTTGAAAAGTCATATATTACTATGTACACAAATATAATACGCTGCACCGTTCTTTCGTACTATTGTTTATAGCAAAATAATCATCCTAAATTGTAGACTCGACAACATTAGCATTGTCTACTGACGTGCACAGATAAGTAAACGACGAAACTCGTCGAAAACTATCCAGTGATGCCAAGTTCCGTTTTAACACACTAGTCGAGTCGAAATTTTAGACAATGCCATGCGATTTTCGATACGAATCGACTATCGAAAAACGACTTGCAGTCGACACGACACTCCCCAATGAGGCTGTATACCAAAAATTTCGCTTTTCTACTTCAAATACATGACCGGAATATGAGGGCCGGCAAATTGTTGTCGTTGTGATACTGATACCACCCTTTTCTTATTGAATCAGGATGTTTTGATAAGTTTACATTTAAATTTTTGATCGAATCTTTTTTAATACAGTCGAATGTGGTTTTTTGATCAGTTTGGCTTCCCGATAGAGTGCAATCCTTTATCATATGTTTGACGCAGAGTATCGCATTACACTGGCTGCAAACTGTAGGTCTTCCTCCGTTAAAGTATTGTGGTATTGTTAATTTTGTTACTCCAGTTCTCATCCGTGCTAGTGTAATGCAATCGTTCCTAGTGAATTGTTTGCTGTAATGTGGTATTAGGTTTTGATGGTTTGGATAGTTGGTTATTGAGTCCAAGCAGGGTACTTCCATTATGAGAGGCATCGTAATGGCGTTTTGAGCTGCATTATCCGCCAATTCGTTGGCAAATGCATCCCGGTATCCATGATTTTTATTTTAATATTTCTTTTTTCATTAAGTATTGTTACTTAAAATTAATTAATTTAGTATAACACTATCAATGGCCACGGAAAAAATTGCGATGATGTTGAGAAAATCGTATCGCTCCTCAAAGCTGGCTGTGATATGATTTTAAATTCTACATTTCACAACCGCTTTGAAGAATGACACAATTTTAACTTCCTTTTTGATATTTCATTGCTTCACTATTTTTGTAGTCGCGCATTAGATCAATCAACTGAGTGTTATGTATATTTCAAATTTATAGTTTTGAAAAATTATTGAGTTAGAGCGTCAACCTTACTAAAAATTATGTGGGGCACAAAAACAGCTAATTTTCAAAATACTGATTAACTGAATGCACTTTTAGGCACATAATTACTAAGCCCCTTACAAATTCCATGAAAATAAATTGTTCCATATACATATCTACAAGCAAAACAAAATATTGGTAATTTTTTTATAAATTTGAATGATCAATGTGCTATCAACTCAAAAAAAAAATGTTTGACCGATTTTTTTGCATAAATCAATTCATAGGACTCACATCGAATTAATGGAAATATTTTTTTCTTCATGATTATACACATTAACTAAAAAACTACTGTTATTCCTGTTTTCGTATTAATTGTGCTGAATCTGTACGATCCACAAGCAGTTCAATTTCCCTCTCTGAATTTTAAGTTAGCTCACTTTAGATCTTGGTGTACGATATATCGCACACCGTCTTCAAAAGAGTCACAACTCCAAATAATACGCGAAAAACTATTTCGTAGCACATGCTAATCATATGGGTAAGGGTAACTTTACTTTTGGTTTTTAAAAAAAATTATAACAAAAATTTGCTCAAGTTTTTGCTGAAAGGTAAATAAAAGCTCCGTGTACATTTTTAGGGCATAATTTCAAAAATGCCAAATTTTGAGTTGTGACTCTTTTGAAGATGGTGTGCGGTAAGTGTATTTATTTCTGTGGGCTGGTCTGATATAATGCTTTCATAAAGAATATATGAAAAGCTGCGTTATTGTGGCTATGTTCAGAAACACATCAAGCCAAAGCATCAGTCTCTTTTATTTCTAAACCATAACTGATGGAAATGCCTTATTTGCGCAACTAAGTTGGAACTTGGCATTTAACCTTAGTTGCGTATATTGGACCTTTCCATTAGTTATGGTTTAGAAATAAAAGAGCCTGATGCTTTGACTTGATGCATTGCTGAACACAGCGTTCACTTTCGGCTTTACTTTATACATTGTTTATATGGAATTTCCGAATTGATGTGTATAAATCGGGTGCAACAATACCAAAAAAATTGCTCTATAATTCTTTGGTGGATTCGCAATAAGGCTTATAATGTCATCGGCTGCCCAACTGATCAGGTTCTTTCTCAGTGTACACATGCTTATCTGGAACATTTTTTTCCATTTAGGGTCGTTTTCTCAAGTAACCTTTAACTTTAAAGCTCACTATATATTTAAAGATTGCATTCAAATTTATGATTGTGTCTAAAGTAAAGCATTTTATTGTCGGTTTTAAATTGGTTACAACCAAGAACCATACATACAGACGTCAAAAATCGATAATGGAAATGCTTAACTTTATTTTTCATCCAAAAATATAAAGTAGGCTTCAAAGTTAAAGGTTACTTCAGAAAACAGCCCTTAGATAGTTAAAATTTCATCAATCATATATGTATGTAGGTACCTTTGTATGTACATACATAAAGTGACTTAAACAAGTCCCTTTTTTTTTAAATACATACGTACATATGTACATATGTATGTATTTACAATGGGTTTCAAGTTCAACTTTTTTGTTATTTTTCTATAAAAATATTGTCCAAGGTTTAACCAAAACCAAATAAATCGAGCTTTATACAAAATTCAGGAAAATGCAAACAATTTTCATCAACATTTCACACTTTTTAATCTTGAGTATTTAGAACATTTTTGGTTATGCAGTTTTAAAGTCCATACAATCTAAATCTAATGTATCAAAGTTACAGGCGTAGATTGTTTATATTTTTTTTGCTAACGCATTTTTGCAATTTTAGTGCGCATTTCTTATGAAATAAAATGCAGAAGTCCTTTCGCATCAAACATTAAGAAATTGAAAGCCAGTGTTTATAAAATGCACTTGAAAAAGCCGTCATAAAAAAAGAAAAACTATTGAAAATCAACACCATTTTTTAGCGTGGTAAAACGTGCGTACCTAAAAATAAAGAAAATTTATTGAATAATCGAAACTTGAAACTTTGATTTATATGATTTTGGTTAAAGCTTGGACAATATTTTTATAAAAAAATAAGAAAAGAAAAAAATTACTTAAAAAACATTGTGAACATAGGTACCGAATTTTGCTTTCAAATTCTACTGACTGACTTTTTACGTGATTGCATTTAAGCCCAGCATTATACATAGCATTTGACGCATCAACGAAGATAAGTCGATTTAGGCGGTTTAGCCATTTTATCGCTTATTGGTATATCAATTTTATTCTACTCACATATATGTATGTATATAATTTTATTGCGTAAGAATGAAACTCTTGATTCAAGTGTAATTACGTGGCACTTTGATTTCGTTTCCAATTTATATTTATTTTTCATCTCATTTATGTATGTATGCATGTATGTATGTACATATGTATATCACCTTTTCTTTAGTGTAGCTACAAAATGCATTTCCGTCGTAGTTTACTATTTAGATAAAGTTTCTTATTCCTTAAATACGAACGCTATTTTGGGTTTCATTGAGGCTGGCAAAAAAATTGCTGCATTTATGAATTTAAAACTGAAAAGTTCGAAATAAAAAACCAGATAACTCAATTTGAATTGCCAAATTGCTATGAATAAAGTGTCACTACTGCTAAGGCTGCGTGCAAGCAAAAAATCACATTTTGGCAAACTAGTACGTTGGTTACGTTTAGTATGAAAATTCATTGTGTTGCTTTATAACAGTACTTATAACCGCCAGTTGCCTGACAATCGAAATGAAATGTTTCAAAAGCTCATGCTTTGAAATAAGAGTGACTTTAGCCAAGCTTTTCTGTTATGTTGAGCTACATATTTGTATGATTAAAATGACTAAAAGTGCAACTCGCTTGGAAGCTTGAAAACTAGTTTTAGCCACCACACAAGCTGTCGACTCAGTGGATAACACTCTTAAAATTTTTAACACTCTGTAAATTTGTTTGTCTGTAAAAGGCTTTAAGAATTATAAATCCGAAACAAAAATTAAATGATTTATATAGTCAGTAAAAGATATTCATAATTAGTAGTGGTTAGTAATCAATGGTAAACGATTTTTTCATTCTATGCCACTCTCCTTAATTCTCCAGCTTCAAAAAGTAATTAAAACTGTCCTGATAAAAAACGTTTATGTAGATTTTTATTCGTTTTTTCAATAGATCTTACAAAATATATTTAAATAAAACTAAAACATTGACAATACGAATTATTAAAAAAAAATACCAATGCATAGATATTGCGTGTCATACAAGTGTATGTATGTACATAAGTTTGCCGTATATAAATATGGTAGTATGCAAGTAATTATAAGTCGAAAAGAATGATGCAAATCATAACTCTACGTTTAATAAATCTATCAAATAAAACTTGAATAATCGCAGAGTGCACCTACATACACATACATATGTATAAATGTTTACTTATATGTATATGAATAATGTATAAGTCAATAATACAAGCGTTGCGTTGGTTATACGCACAAAGTGCAACCATGTTTCACTTTTATCAGGAAAAATTAATTAAATGTAAATCACAAAAGAATATATTATTAATTCATAATTACTATGCGCACTCAATGCCATTTAATGTAATGTAATTATGTTTATTTTCTAGTACGTACATATGCACTAACATGTATGCATGTGTAAATATATAAATCAAAATTCAAATATTTGAGCGGTGAGAGTTTGAATTAAGCAAATAAGTAACATTTCGCTATCAGCAAAAAAAAAATTTAAATCCTTACTTATGCTAAGCGTATGCAATAAGCTTGCTTTTTAAAACTAACCTTTCTTCTTCTTGCTCAGCTCTTCGCTGTGTATCTACGTATGTAAAAATATGAAACATTACATAAATTCTTTAACGTGAACTTAGTTTCCACAATTTACATGGCGTCTTGACTTACATATAAGCTATCCGTAGGCGTTATAATTAATCAGTTTCAATATTCGAATTCTTTATATCTAAATTCAGTTTTTTTGTATGCGTTCGTACATTTTCGTGTATGTATAAAAGTAAAAAGCACAATAAAAAAGCATACAAAACATTATTTCATATTAAAAAAATAGTTCAAAAACTCCTTACGAACAACGGTTGATTTCTTAATTATCCTGGCTGGCTAGTTGACACAATTACAAACATTTTTAGGATGCATTTATGTATGTAAGCATTTATGATTTGATGATTTCTAGTTATCTTTACAACTTTCTTGCTGAATGCATTTGCATTCAACGCACATTTGCAGAAGCTTCATTATTACATAAGTTTAAATTATTTTGTTTTGACTTGTCTTACATACACACTTATGTATGTACATATATATGTATATCTACTACGTGGGTATACTTGTTTAGTTTCGAACAAAAGTATTGACTACTCGGTAAAATTGAATGATATTTCATATTCATATTTGTAGTTGGCATTCTTTACGTTTACTTTTATCTAAATAAAAAGCATTCGATGCAAACACTACTTTCTTCTTTCTATTTATATCGCTTTCCTTGAACTATTTTAATTCTAGTTTAGTTTTTTTTTTGATGAAATATTTATCTATCATGTGTAGGGTTTCACTCGTCGATTTCTTTGCTAATATCCAATAAATTAACTCAGTACATGATTCGGCAGTCACGGAATGCCGCGTTGAGAAACTCAGTTGTAGCTTAATCAGTTAGTGTTTGAGCGACGAGTGCCAGTTGCTCCTTGAGAATGCGGAATGAAGGACGCTCTTCTGGACCGTGCGACCAGCATTTCTTCATAACCTTTATAGAAAAGAGCATGCATATATTTACATAATAGATATCTTGAATTGCAACATTATCACTTGAAGAGAGATATCACAAAGCGGACGAAAAGGGAGATCTCAAAAGACGAGCAAGATATTACAAAATATGTACTTACATCGTATATTTCCTTTGCACATGACTTTGGTTTTTCTAATATAATACCGCGCTGAACACGTTCCACCACTTCGGTATTCTTGAGACGGCCATAAGGCATTTTGCCACAGGTGAACACTTCCCACATTAGCACTCCTAATTATCGTAAAATAAATCAAAACGACATTTTAAGATAGATTCCCCACAAATGCACTAAGCCAAACTATTTTACCGTAAGCCCAGACATCACTTTTGGACGAGAAACGCGTGTAGTTCAATACTTCTGGAGGTGCCCATTTAATAGGAAACTTAGTGCCGCCGGAACTTGTATACTGATCATCCAAAACGTAGCGCGCCAAACCGAAATCTGCTACTTTTACCACATTTTCAGAACCCACAAGACAATTACGAGCGGCCAGATCACGATGTATGTAGTTATGGCGTTCCAAATAGGCCATACCTTTGCTAACCTGTCATGTAATAATAACGTTAAAATTATAAACAACAAATTGTATTGGTTTAAGAATTAACTAAAGGGCGAATTCACAGTGGAGAGCTAACTTATATTCTCCAGTTGACTGTTGATTTACAGCACAAATTTATAGGTTAACTTCGGAGTGTGGGTTAATTCTGTAAAAAGTTAACTCACATTCGGAACTTAACTTTAAACATTTGTACAGAAGATCTAGATTTAATTGCCAAATGTGAGTTAGCTTTTAAATCTAGAGTTAACGCCCCACTGTGAAAACCGCACTCACGGCTATTTTTAGAGAGCAGAATTAACTAACATTTGGAATCCAGCTTTTAATTTTTGTACTAAAAATCTAGAGTTAATTCACTTTCGGAAATTAACTTCCAATATTTGTACCGAAAGCCTATAGTTAGCTGCCGAATGTGAGTTGACTTTGCCCTGTAAAAATAGTAAATACCTGTATGCACATATCCAATAATAAGCCCATATTTCCAATTAATGTGGTCTCATGCCGACGCAAATAGTTCAATAGCGATCCATGTTTCATATATTCGGTGACAATATATATCGGACGATGCTTCGAGCAAACGCCATACAATTGTACCAGGTTGGGATGTTGCAATTTTGTCATCACTTTGGCTTCCTCAATGAAATCGTCCTCGGACATGGTGCCCTCCTTCATCATCTTGACGGCAGTGTCAATCGAACCACGCCATTTACCGCGTCGTACCACACCAAATTGACCCGAACCGAGCTCCTCCATCAACATTAACTCCATTGGATGAATTTCCCACTTATCTATGAGGGGAAATAAGTGATTATTGCAGGCTATGGCACAGTAATGCGGATTTCCTGTTTATAATATATTTACCATGTGACAATCCTGCTGTTGGTGGAACTGGTCTATCACAAGGCGATGATTTCAAACGACACGCTAATCCACCCGAGTTATGCCGATGGTAGTTGATTAGGTCGGGTATTGTTTCGCAACAATGCTTCTCGCTCAAGTAGTACTCCCCTCTCGCATTCTGTTTGATGTGATAGTGCTTAACATGAGATTGCGGTCTATATACGGAGGAAGGGAGGATATTTATAGGTGAAATATTATTATTTTTTTGCATCTTATTTGATTTGTTCACTTACACTTTGGTATGTAAGGACAACGTGTATAAACCTTTTGTCGAGGACTTTCGTACAACAAAACAGCCCTCCTTGTCACCTTGTTTTAGAAGTGATTCAGCGCGTTGACGTGACATGTCACCTACATACCATCTGTGAATGATTTTTTAATGAAAAATTTAAACATTGAAATTTAAAAAAGTATCAGGGCTTTGAAAAAAGACAATAAAATTATTTACAGGTTCTGAGTTTTATATGTCTGTAGTGTGGTCTACTGTCGTCTTGTGTTGGGGTGTGGTCGTGTTTGTGTTGGGTTGCTCAGGCGGACTCTTGTGTGCCGTGAAGGCAGCTTGGTTTGAGTAGCAAGGAGCCACGTATGACGTTGTCCGTCGCCGATGAGTCCTGAAACCTGAGCAATAGAGTGGTTAAAATTTTGTATAGGGAAAAAAATTTCATCGTAGAAAACGGGGCACTCCCTTGCTTTTTTTCCTGACGAGTCGCAAAGTTGTTGTTGTTGTAGCGCCACTACTAAGCCCCGCCTGTTTCGGGTCAACTTTTAATCATTATCGTCAAGCTCAACTAACGGTAGGCCCAGGAAACGAGCTGTTTCGATGGGGTCGGACCAAAGGGAGAGGGGTGATAGTTGAGTCGGATTGAGCTGGCATGTGAAGAGGTGGTTGGTGTCGTGGGGGGAGTCTCCACATGCCAGGCACTCATTTGGGATATTTGGGTCGAGTCTGGACAGGTAGCTGTTTAGGCGGCTACAATATCCAGACCGTTACTGAGCCAGGGTAACGCGGGTCTCTCTAGGTAGTTGAAGCTCCGTCTCTTCCACAGGTGGTGATTGGGCTCCGATAACGACATTCTTAGGCCGGGAGTCGAGGTAGGTGGAGACTGACTCCCTATGAATGTCGTTAATCGCTTGTCTGTACGTCATTGGGTCCAGTGGTTGGTCTGTGTGGGTCTGGACTGCGTCCTTGTACACGAATAGGTGCCCCCTGACGTGCCTGGGCGGAGGCTCCTCCTCCAGCAGTGGTCTGTTGGGGTGTTCGCTTCTGTGACACCCCACCAGAAACTGCTTACAGAGCATTTTGTTGTGTTCCCTTACGGGGAGCACTTGGGCCTCGCTGTGTAGGTGGTGCTCAGGCGTCATCAGAAGGCACCCAGTCGCTGTCCGGAGTGCGGCGTTCTGACAAGTCTATAGCTTCGTCCACTGCGTCCAACTAGTCCCCGGCGACCAAACTGGCGCTGCATAATTTAGAACCGGCCGGCCAATTGCCTTGTATGTTGCCAGCAACGTTTCTTTGTCTTTGCCCCAAGTGCTGCCGGCGAGCGACTTGAGGACCTTGTTGCGGCTCTGTACTTTGTTGACAACTGCGGTTGTGTGCGCGGAGAAGGAGAGCAGGCTATCAAAGGTAACCCCTAAAATTTTTGGGTTGTTCACCGTCGGTATAGGTGTGCCGTCGACGTGAATGCCTAATTCTAGCCTGACCTCCTTCGTCCAGGTGGTGAAGAGAGTCGCAAAGTCGTGGGTTCGAGTTCCAAGGCCAGTAAAATTTTCATTTATTTCGTATTTATGTATTTTTTTATAAGTTCTTTATTTTTTTAACGTTGCTTTCAGTTAGTTGTTGTTGACTTTTTAATAAAATTCAACTCTAAGAGCGTGTGTGAATCGGTAACAAAGTTCGCGTCGAGTAAATTTTTGACAACTATGAGGTGAATAAAATTTCAGTAGCTCATGAGGCTAGTGAAATTTTTGACAAATGCATAGAAAATTTTGACAATCGCAAAGATTGTTGATGTGTGTAATTTTTCGTTAAATAAAAGCTTAAATAGATGAATTGCAATCAACGATGGTAGATGTTTTCTTAAAATATTCATTTCACTCCAATTTGTAATATTTTATTCCAAATAAATCTGCGGTTATCAAAAATTTACTGCTGTCACAAAATATTTCATTTCACACAGCAGATTGGCAAAACTATTATTCAACAGCTTTCCCCATAGAACTTTGTTACTGATTCACACACGCCCTAAAAAATTAAGTAATGGTGAAATAAAGAATGTGATATAAAATAAAGCAAATGAAAATAAAATAAAGTAAAATGAAATATGTAAATCAAATAAAATAAATAATAAAAACAAAAAATTTTTTCGCATTCGCTCCAACCGAGGCAACTCTCTCCACACGGCTACCGCGGACGGTAAACTCGCCTGCTTTTGCTTACTTGTACAAAAGACAACATCTGTCCGTTTTTACCAGTGTTGCCATCGAAAATTCCCCGGATCCGAGCTAATTCCCAAAAATTTCGTGCATTTGTTCGGTTGCTTATGCGCATTTTAAATAGGAAAATGCATGAGCTGTTTATGCAAATAAGCGAGCCCGTTTGTCAACCGTATATACCAACATTCAATTGTCTACTGTAACCAATACAGGGTGCTCAATGACCTTGAAATCCCTTTGAAAATGACAAAAGTATTGATGATTTTTAGAATAAGCTAGTGTTTTCATGACAACTGCAGCTGGTAGTATTTTTTCAGCTAATTTAAATTTGAAATAGTCCTAAGCTGCTTAACCAATTGTTTAGTTAATATTATAAACATGTAGAAAGTAGAGCAATTTCATGAAATTCTTCTAAATTTACATTTAGAAATATGTATTAAGTTTGGTGCCAGCAGCTCATTTGGCAAGAGGATAAATTTTGAAAGGTGCGCCAACCTTATCTCGGAAAATTTTTTTTGGGCCACTTTACTGAGCAAGTCCGAAGGTGACTCCACCCGTTGCAGGAGTTACACATCACTGAAGTGGATTTGTTATGTAGTCGTCTCTGGCAAACTCAGCAAATGTAGGTTTCTGGCTCAGGGTTTGACTCCAGATAATGTCCCATGGACGAACAACCTTTAGCGACGAAACACAATAGCCCTTGGTCGTAAAACCCCAGTCATTCCGGCACGTAGAACCAGCCGTCGCACAGTGCTGTGGCTCCATATAAAATGTGAGCAAAAATACAATTATGGGCGGATTTAAATGAAAATTTGTTTTTTGATACTTTTCATACTTTCTCTGTAAATGCAGTTTGAAGCTCAAAATTTGGATTCTTGTTGCATTAGCATAGGTAAAGTTCATTACGTATAGTACATTCCAATTTAAAAAGTGGGGTGTCAGTTTACAGGGATTAGTCTGTAGATATGCAGTAAAGCTTTATTTTGTTTATAAGGGTTGCCCCTTGTTAAAAAATTGAATTCAAATGAATTGGATATTACAATATGGGTATCAATCGACATGGTTTTGAAAATACTTTACTTCTATACTACACGTATAAGAGTTGCCACCTCCTTAAACAATTAAATTCAATTTAACTATTGGATTTGGGTAACTGAAATATGTATAATAACATAAAAAAAATTTAAATATTTAGCAAAAAATAAGAGAAGAATAAACAAATTCCTGAAACCGTAAAGTTAATTTAAGGGTCCAGAGCAAGAAAACATATCACTCATTGGCAATGTATGTAGTATGTATTTACATACTGTAATAAAATGACAAATGCGATGCCGTAACGCGTTCGTTTAATATAAATATTTTAAAATTTCATATATAAAAATTTTGTATGATTTAATTAAATTATATTTGCAAACAGGTGGCGACCATCTTCAAAATATTTGCAAGCCATTATATATGGTGATACATATTTCAGTCACCTATTTCCCTAAATTTAAATGGAATTTGATTTATTAAACAGGTGGCAACCCTCCCAACTGTAGTTAAGAAATCAACCTTTTCAAAACCATTTTCGATTGATATACATCTTTTAATAATTAATTTAAATAATAATTTGAATTAAATTTTTCAACAGGTGGCAACTCTTTTAAAAAAATTTGAGTTTTATTTTTAAGATTTAAAGGTCAAGGCATTTAATGCGCCTTCTAATTTTTGAAAATCGAACGAATGGTGCAGATCTGATAGCATTAACAAAAATAAAAAAATTATTGGTTGCATCTGCCAAAACCGCATTAATTCGCAAAGTGCAGATAAGACCATACTTTTGATTTATGGAAAAAAGCATGATATTAGCTATATTTTTATTTTCAGCACATTAAATTTCCATTTAAAATATAACGAGTCTAAACTACAGAACTTAAATTTTTTTATCAAATTAATTTTTTGCAGCTATCTTAAGCAATTTTAAACGGAAAATTTAAACTAATATCTCATGAATTGTATATTTGACAATTTTTTCCGTGTAAAGCCTAAAACTGATATGGCTCTGACTAAAATATTTGGTTTAAAACTTCAAGGTGTTTTTTCTGTGTATTATTGATTTTATACAAAATTTTGGACCGGAGCCTTGATAATAGATAAATTGCCTTTCCAAAAATACCATTACGTCTATATTTGGGACAACAAAATTTTCGATTTTTGCCCGCTCGCACAGCAGTATATGTCGTGGGAATGCGAAGCCCTCCGATCACTGTATTTGGTAGTCTAGAACCTGAGAGTGAACCCAAATTTGGTCTTTACATACTCTACTAGTTTCGTCCGCACATTCTGACATATCTCCCAGCAGATATCTGTTATTCTAGAACTGCTGCTTCGGTCGGGAGGTGGGCCAGACTCACACGACTCGTCTGGCGAAATGGCGGCAGATACAACTTCAACTCTCGTATGATTTACGAAATGATGCAGATTAGCAAACCCCATTCCTCTTTAGATACTGCAATTAAGCTGAAAGGGACTTCAAGGTAAGATATACAAACTATGCTAATTGAATGAGGATTTCACAGTATCACTGTTTTTTGGCTTTTTATATGCTCGAAAAACACATACAGCTTTGTTGATTCTTGTATGACCCTATATAAAAACCATATAACCACAATGACTTTGAAAAATATACTCACTCATAACGCTCTAACCCCAGTAAAGCTTTGGGCTTGACGTAATTACTAGGAATGTAACCAACATTGCCCAAAGCATCCTTTACTTTCCACCAGTGCTCTTGAGAATCATCAATTACTTCATATTCAGCATTCTAAAGAAGATATAATTTATTTCATTAGTTTCACGAGATTGCGATTCATTCAAATTATGGTTAAACAAGTTAAGAATTACATTAATTTCACTAAGGCTGCCTTACCTTCTCAAGTGATAAATCCCCGCCTTCAATGGCCTTAAACGGGTACAAGGCCACGACAACCTTGACAAAATGGGAGTTGTCCTGTAAAGTATAAAAAGAGAGCTATTATTTTCGATTACGTACTGAGGTCAATTGCACAAGCTACAATTAAAAAGACTTTCAACATTGATGTTGAATTTATCTCATTTTAGATCTGTAACTTTGTGCAGTAGTAATTATAAACAGAATCGAAAAAATCTGTAGATTTTTTTAACGATTCCGCAAGACCCATTCGATTCACAGTAATCGACTCAAATAAGCAGATATTCTTCTCTCCGTAAAAACTAACTTTTATACCGAATTAATGAACGAAACGGGAATGCCTTTATTTAAAAACTTGTATTTGAAAACCATTCTTTCATCTCTTCGATCCCAAGAGGCTCTATACGTTTGTACGCATTTAGAAATCGTAAACGGATTCAAATTCTGTGGGACCCTTATGAATCCCTTTTTAATCGCCCAATGTGTCGACTTCAATTCGAATAAAAATATAAGAAAAACAAGTAAAGTATAAGTTCGGGCGAAACCGAACATTATACTTATACCCGGCGTACATATTAAATGTCGTTTTTTTAATTTTTCAGTAAACTGCATGATAAGCAAGGGTATTTTTTCCGATGTCAAACAGTTACGATAATATGCTATGATTTATTAAAATAATTGGACTAAGTTTGGTGGAAATCGGTAAGGCGGTTATCGATATGCACTTATGTAGTCATAATTGGGTGGGTGGTGCCACGCCTGTTTAACAAAAATCAATAATCTTGTGTCTTGTTAAGTGATTGTTGTAAGTTGGCGTCTTTAGTTATTGAAAAATCGGAGTTTTCGCATTTCTGAAATTTGCCGTTATATGGTAAGTGACAGCAATTTTAGTCCGATTTCAAAAGTTTTCAATATATTGCTTTTTTGTGCCAAGGTTGATAAATGTTCAAAGTTTGGTAGAAATCGATAAACCGGTTACCGAGATACACATATGTATGTAGGCGTAACTGGGCGCCCATTTTCAAAAAAACTCTCTGAGTATCATTTCCTGCTAAGATGTCATTGCATATATCGATTTTGAGCAAATTAGCTTAAATATTAAATACTAATTTATCGCAGTTTTCGTATTTCTGTAAACTACCGTTATATGGGAGGTGGGCGTGGTTCTTGTACAGAGAATGAAAACAAACAATAGCAAACGTATCGGTATCGTTAGTTTCGCCCATACAAGGTAACGAAACACAACCGATTCAAATCACTCGGAAACATTTTGCGAGTGGTAACTTTACTTTGCTAGCATTCGCGATAGCGAAACATAAAGTTAGTTCTCATAACACAACACGAAACCATTCGTTTAGTGATCCCCAAGTATACATACACACATATGTTTGTACGTACATAGTGTGCATCGGTGTCCATTCGAACGACATGACCAAGCCAGCGGAGCCGCTGTATTTTAATTCGCTGCACTATGTCCACGCCGTTGCAAAGCTCATACAAAATCTTTCTCTCGAATACTCCAAGACAGCCTCATCGGATGTTGTCATTGTCAATGCTTCAGCGCCATATACCAACACGGGCATGATAGTGACTTATAGAGCGTGATTTTCGTACGTCGAGAGAGGACTTTACTCCTGAATTCTCTACTCAGTCCAAAGTAGCACTTGTTGGCAAGAGTGATTCTGCGTTGGATTTCCATGCTTACATTATTATCGGTGTTAATGCCGGTTCCCAAGTAAACGAAATTATCTACTTTCTCGAAATTGTAACTGTCAACAGTGACGTAGGTGCCAAGGCGCGAATGTGCTGTCTGTTTGTTTGATGACAGGAGATACTTGCTCTTGTCCTCGTTTACCACCAGACCCATTCGCTTTGCTTCCTTATCCAACTTGGAAAAGGCAGAAAAGACTTCGCGGTTTTTGATACCGATGATATCGATGTCATCGGCATAAGCAAGCAATAGCACGCTCTTGTACTACATAGGCAACATTAATTTGCTGAGCACTAAAGGAATGATTCCTTTTGTTTTGCGTATCGTGTTTTGTTTCGGTTTTGCTCAGGATGGGTACCTTTACCACAATCGAAACCATGCAAGTGAGCAAAAGAACATACGATTCGTTTGGTTTGTGCTCGGCTGCCGTTGAAACGTATCATGTATTGCTAGCACATTATGAGTAAAGGAACACAAACTTTTCGTACTTGTTGTGGTAATGGGTAGTGATACGTTCGGTTTGTTTTCGTACTCTTAATTTTGCTCTAACATCTTTGGTGTGTACTTACCTTAGCCTTAGAGTTTGGAGTACCCGGCGTCGGAATACCCCCCGGCATGGTGTTGTCCAACAATGTAGTGCCGCTGTTCAAAATATTTGGTGATTGCTTAAATGTGGTAACAGAAGGCTACAGAGAATCGAAAGAAAACAAATTTAAATGTGATGCGCCTTTAAGGTATTTAAAGTGGAAACATACTTGTATTTGTGCAGATGTGGGCGTTGAGCTACCCAAACTTCCAGAGCTGTTGTGATGCAGATTGAATTGACTGGTGGAGGTTGAGTTGTTTGGACTGATGCTACGAGTTGAATTCTGGGCAGGAGAACTTCCAGTGCCTGAAAGTATGAAAAGGAAAAAAATATTTAAATAATAAGTAAAGCCATTCGCTAAGAAGAGCGCAAAGTAATTGTGCACTAAAAAGTTTTAATTTAAACGGTTTCTTGGGCTAGAAAATCATAAAATAACTACTATAATAAACTAATAAAATTTCATTTACATTTATAGGCCGCCTTAATCGATTAGCTTTTTCGATTTTTTATTGTTAAGAAAAAACATACATAACTGTAATTTTGAAAATGAATCATTTCAGCTGAAGCACAAAAGTGAAGACACATTTAACTACGTTAGTCGTTCGTCTACACATTTATAGGAGTACATACATATGTATGTATATGTTTGTATGCCCATTAAGCGTTGTGACAGCAAATTCAATTTGGTGTAGGAGTTATCGTCGTCGTGTGCAAAACATTACGCAACTATGTTGCCAAAATTGTATAAAATGTTTTTGTGGTATGCCATTGTTGTAGGAGTGTGGGATTTGCGCATTTTAACCGATTTATTTTCAAGCTTACTTTCAATAGTGAGGTGGAGGTCACAAGCTGACGAAGAAAGTTCGCTTTATTTTCAAGTCATGGTCAGACGCACCAGAAAATTGCGTAGACACCCAAGGTTCATCTGACAGGTTATTGAATTCTTCAGCAAGTACGCAAGCATTTAAATAATTATTTTGTATACATAAGTGTGAATAGAATAAAACAAAGGGGTCATGGTGAAAACTTCTGAAAATTTGGAAGACAAATCCGCGTTTATCAAAATTATGGGAAATCCATATGCTTATATACATTTATACTAATGTATGTACAGTAGACTGCATCACTCCTCATACAAAAAAGAAAAATCGGTACTATTTTTCCACTGGAATTTTAAAATCTATTATATTTTAAGACTTTCACCAAAATATCTCGCAAAAATATTAAGATTTACGTGAGCTGGACCGATTTAAAAATACCTCCAAAAATTTAGTTTTTTATTAATAAAAACAGTTTTTTTTTAATATTTAAAAAAAAAAATACCTCAGATGACTAAACAGTTAAAACCTTACAAATTTAGACTTAAGACTTCTAATTTCTTTGCGAATAAGCTCATTCAAAGTATGAAAGAGGAAGGTAAGATAAACGAGTGTCATTCCACGTTGAATTAAGATGTGTTGGTATTTGATAAAGAAAAAATTGGGACGTGAATGAGTCTTTTTGTGAAGAAAACACCTTTCCGCTGATACCTCATAAGTCTATATCGGTAAAGTTTTGGAGCAGTTATTCAAGTTTTTCTTACACAAATCTTTGAAAAAAGTAAAAAAAAACAGCATCAAAAATCTCATTATTATGATTCCGTTGATACAAATTTTTAAAATTTTTATATAGATTTTTTAAGCTTATACTGTTTTGTCATCTGAGGGGATGTTTCCAGAAAAAAACTTTTAAGAAACTATTTTTATTCATAAAAAACTCCATTTTTAGGAGGTAGCTCACGTGAATCTTAATATTTTTCCGAAATATTTTGGTATAAGTCTTAGAATATAATATNTTTTTCGTTTTCGATGCTAAACACAAAATATCACATAAATTGTAATAAATTTGAGTCTGAATAAATTTAAGGTTTTTCATTCATTCATTTATATAATTCTATATGAAGTTAGAAAACTTGAAACGCAATGAATATTCATAAAATACAAAATTCAAAACGCTGGGTGTTTTGAACTTGAAATAGAATACACAATTCTACTGTACTCTCTTTGGCTTGAAATTAGAATCGACTCATGCAGAGGTCTATTACGTATGTACATACAAAAAATAAGCTCTGCAGGGATAAATGGCAAGAGCAGGTTACTGACATGACGTAGAATCTGAACTAGATTTGCTTCTACATATGTACATATGTATGCATACTACATCAGGGATGTTGTTGTATATCTCACATTCGCGAATCCGAATACGAATGTGCGAATACGAGCCGAGAGTAACGGATGGGATGATACCCGCCTCTCTGAGTTAATGGATTCGTTTCCCAATTTTAGACAAACTATAAATATTTCGCTCTTGCAACTTTTCGTATTTGTATATGTAGCTAATTGAATGTTAAGATCCATTTCATGCTTTGATTGCATTCCTATATTTAAAAAAAAAACTATTTTAGCTTGTGACTGGTGGGACAGTATTTTATGACGGGTGGGACGAGTCACTATTGGGGACACATAGTTCGTGAGTAAAATGAACTCTACCGGTTTTATATGAATACTCCCCGTGTTATAATTATAAGCGCACCACATATTGACAAGTTTTAACAATTTATCTCTTTGTTATTTAATTTTAGTTATTTTTTATTAAAACATAGTTTCTTCTTTAACAAAGAGCGTATGAATCGAGGTTTCAAACTATGTGCAATATTAAAAAAAAATCAACAAGCTTTCGTATATATGTACATTAGAGTGGTCCCATTTTTGTATGGGGAAAAAATGTCATCTCTGAAAACGGGGCACGCCCTTTTTTTTTGATATTTGTAATATCTATACAGACTTTTAATTTTCTACAATTGTTTGATTAATATATCGTCACTACCATGTCAAACTATCGAAAATCGGTACTTCTCATGAGAGCAAGAAACTGCTGTAAAAAATGTTGTTGTCATTTAGTAAAAAGTGTGGGATTCGACACTTTGTTAAAGCCAGTATCCTCTGCTTCTTAGAAGACTATAAATTTGACGAATTGCCAACTTACGTATCATTCTAAACGCATGCACAAGGTGTCGTAAATGAAAAAGCTCATTCGATAGTTTGGCATGGTAGCGAGGATATGTATGCACACAATATTACTAGAGTAAAATATGAGCATCATGAGCATCCTCTAAATTTATATTTATAAACGTAAAGTTTGGTACCAGCATCTCTTTCGGCAAGAGCGAAAACTTTGGATGGTGCCCAAAACCCTATCTCGGGAAAATTTTTTTGGATCACTCTAATGTACGTACGTTCGTATGTATGTACATACATAATCACAAGTTTAAACCAAAATCCAGGTTCTAAATTTTATTGACGGTTAAATAAACACATGTAACGAAAAAAATGTCAGAAGTTAACTAGAAAGTTAACTAGAGAAGTAGATACTTAGTAAGATATTCTTTAGGCAATTAGATAAATATAATGGAGGTTGCGCACTTGGGTCTATTGTGCACTCAAAACTGATCACAAGACCTCGCCTAACCTTAAGGCCCTAATGAAAACCAACAGTTTTAGGGGCAGCAAATAGTAAATATGCGTGGTCTATTTGCACAGCTTTACGAAATCTGTTATCTTCTTCCAGCGTCGCATTTCAGAACGAGGTGCAACGGCATTTCTGCCTTCATATGACAGTAATTACAGCAGTCGTCTGAACTAATTTCTAGGATGTTCATGTGAGCTTGCAGCCTGGCTTGGCTTGGGTTTGCTGCAGGATTCGTGATTAGCTTCATTAACTTCTTGGAGTTCTTTCTACGAGGTTTTTGGTCTGCCCTAGCCCATGGGTTCTCTCCTTTGTTCTCTCCTCTGTGCTCTTAACCATTCCCTGATGATATGTGGACTTATAGCAAGGCAGGGTTCTGGTACAGCTGGCTGGGCGGCTGCCAGCCTGTCCGCTTCCCTGTTAACCTGAATGCCTTTACGGCTTTGCAACCACAGCCGTTGTAATGTGATCTGTTACCTTCGGGCGTTTAGTGTCTATACATTGCTATACCACATTTCATCTAATTTCACATTAACATATGGCTGTTAGTGCAGCCTGAATGTCGCTGCGAATGATAGGCGTGCTGGTGCTGGCGTCTCTAAAAATCTGCGCAAAAACTAATGGCATAAACCTCCTATTGCAAGACGCTAGAGTATTTCCCTATGGGAGCCATATATTCCTGCCTCAAAACTTTCATCAGTTTTGAAACCATCTGCATACGACCTTTGGGTATGAAGCAAAAATGTGCTTTCTAAAAAATTTTCCTTTGATCGCGTCATATCTGTTCAGTTGGGAGATTAGTAACTCGGTTTTGATTTCCTTCCAGACTCTGGTTGAGACTACTCTGCCTTTACCTTCTTTACAGTCGTCTGATCTATATGTATATCGGACGACTGCGTGATAAAGGGTCTGCTAGATGAGTGAGGGATCTAATGCGCAGTCCACAACAACCTCTGAAATTCCTGTTCACAGAAGTCCACGAGAAGGCCAGGGTAGCTACTAATAGAAGGTGGACTTATCTGGACACCTGCTGAAGATCGCCACGTTTTGACTATTGCTCGATGAGTGGAGAGCCTGCTGTGCTTAACATTTCTAGGAAATCATTTCATCGAGGATTTGATCAGCTTGGGCGCTGTCTTACGGGATGGTTTAATGAAATGTAGAGACAGGATATTTGAGAAATCCTCTACTGATCATCACAGTGTGCTTCTGTGGCTACAGCGGAAATTCTTGACAATATGAATATATCGCACACCTAGATCTAAAGCGCGATCAACTCAAAGAAAAAAAAATTTGAGCGTCTTCTTTTGCATAAATCGATTCACAGGACTTACATCCAATTAATGGAAATATTTTTTCTTCATGATTAATACATTAACTAAAAATCTACTGTTATACCTGTTTTTGTAATAATTGTGTTGAGTCTGTACGATCCACAAACAGTTAAATTTCCATCTCTGAATTTTGAGTTAGCTCACTTTAGATCTACGTACGATATGATAATTATTTTATATAAATATTTGATTGTGGAAAATATATCAGCCGTAGTGGCTGAGTGATTAGAGGTACGTTCTACTACTCCGTGGGACCTGAGTTCGATCCCTGGTCCGAATAACATCTAAATCTCCAGGCAAACCGTTTAGTGTAGTTTTGCTTTGAAAAAGCTTCTCATAAAACCAAGTGCCGTTCAGAGGCGGCGTAAACATCAGGCCGCATACCACAAATTGTAGGAGAAGCTCGGTCAGACAGTTAAAAAAGTGTACGCGCCAAATATTTTTTTATTTGTTATTACGAAGTCGCTA